ATAAAATAATAATAATAAAATAATAAAAATCAAAAATCAAATCAAATCAAATCAATTAATTAACTAATTAATTAATAGGTCAAAGTAAATAAATGTATAAATCGATAAATATTTTCGAAGAAGGGATCATCATAATGATAATGTACCGCAAATAGTCCCTCTTCACCGCAGCACAATTTACGACAGCTCAGAGATCTAGGAACCCAACCCTTAGAGTAGTTCATCTCCAACATGACTCAGCTCATCATAGGCCGGAGAGCAATGATGGTCTCTTAGTCTTCAAAGTTCAAGAAAACCACGATATACATGGACATCGAACCAAGTTCGTACGTTCTGCAGTTGAGCGTGCTACATGACTGTACTATTACAGAGCTCACTCTGCGTCCTTCGACCCAGGCCTACCTGCCACTGCTGAATGGTATCAAATACAGCGCAGGTAAGCAGTGTGCATGCTGTATTGTAGTAATGTCTTCACTCCATGATTGGATCTATTGCTATTAGTAATATAAGAAGCCTGAAACTAAATCTATTTCTGTTTATTGAGAAGCCTGAAGTGGCTGGGGGGATGTGGGCATGACAGGCAAAGATAACGGATTAAATTCTCTCACCAATTTTTTTCTTGACGAGGGGAGGAATGTCAGACACGAGTAAATGCAGAACTATACCGGATAGGGTGGCTTTTTTGTTTATTTAGTGTTATAAATGATAGACGAACAGATAAATAATTTGAAGTTAATACTACTATGGACGTTTTCGAAATGTTTGTGCAAATCTTATATGGTTCCGGCGTAGGCTATAATATCACACCAGAAAGAACTCACTGTGGAAGAAATATTATTAAAGGGACGTAATCAAGTCAAATCTCTTCATTTCTCAACATCCGAGTATTCTTTCCCATGGATGAAAGAATAAACCATACACAAGGGACACAATCAATTTAATGGCAAAAGAAAGCCTTTATCTAGTTGAGGGGTGGAATCAAGGACAGCATGTCCGATCTGCAAGCTGTATCCCCGTCTCTTTTTTGTTTTTTGTTTTTGTAAGTGTTTTACGGCGCTCGCAACTGCATAAGGTCATATGAGCGCGCGGAACACACCTAACATTTTAAGTAGGCAGGGAATTTTGAATTTTGCGCAGGTGGCGGCTTAAGCCTAACTCTTATCAATTTTAGACCACCAAGGGATCTTTAACGTGAGCAACTTGCACACGAGCCCTCTGAGATTTTTCGTCCTTGTCCGAGAAGGCTAGGTATAGATCTTTCCTACCAGAAGATCAATGGTGTTGATGAAAGAAAGCAGTAAGAAAGAGCCAAGGAGAATCAGTAGAAAGGCTGCAGAAAGAGTTAGGAGCCCAGAGTAGGGGGCAAAGGAGGTGAGGGGTGGGGGCAGAAAGTGGAGCGGCAGACGACAGAATATTGCTAGAGAGCAGGAAAGGACGTGAAAGGAAACAATTTTAGACATTTTGTTAGTATATGTAGTTAATGGTAAAACCTGTGTCGCATCAGACACAGAAGGGTTTCCCGTCTCCCTGCAGGAGAGAATTTAGTTATACACGCCCCTTTTCACAGAAAGAGAAAAAAAAATGGTTAAAAAATGTCACTCACACACAATAAATAACCCATATGTACTAAACAAAAAACTTTCTAAAAGAGTCGTGTCAAGAAAGGAAGGAACAAGTAGGCTCAGAATACAGAAAAAAGGGTGGCAAATGGACACCCTCTTATTTTATTGATGAAAAAGCAACTGATCAATTCAGAGGCAGTTAATATTCTACAGAGACAAGGTAACAAAACCATAAGTACTGGGAATAACCAATAAGAGGCAAACTCCAAAAACGCTTATTTTACAGAAAAAAGAAAACATACCGGACTCTTTATTTTTGTCATTAAATGAAATTTAAGAGACCTTATCTATTTTATTTACAAGAATTAGAGAGCTTTTTTGGTGTATATCGCATTCACTTCAAGGAGAAAATTACATCTACACATGATGTGTAACCCTATCCGTACGCCTAGGGTCATTTCTTCACATTTTAGAATACTTCTAGTACGAAGATCTCTTTGAAACTTTCAGTATTTTCTCAAAAAATCCTTTTAACAGACTGCTATGCAAAGCGTACGGATCGGATTAACGAGTAGATCTGAATATCCTCTTTGGAAAGTGGGGGCACAGAGTTCCCAGGATCATATGAATATGAAGTACAGATAGGGTTAACATACGAAGTACAGATAGGGTTAACATCTAAGAAAAGGGTTAAAACAAAAAAATTCAATTTCAGAGTTGGCTAATTCGCACCAATCATCGTTAACACCTCAACAGCAAGGCCTACTCTATAACACTTATAAGGCCCCGAGAAAATCACAGTCAATGAAGTGAAGGGGTTAATGAAGTGAACATGTAAAAAAAAAAACCCATACAAGATGAAGTGAAGGGGTTAATAAAGTGAACATGTAAAAAAAAAAACATACAAGATCTGATCCTTCTATCGAGGACAACTGTCAGCTACCATATTGACGGTCAACTCTGTCATTCCTCAAGTCTGCTGCCTCTGTCTGACTGCTCTTGCTCCAGGCGAGTCATCATCTCTCCATACACAGACACCATCTACAGGGACACAGTTGGCAAATAAAGCAACAGATATAGCTTACTGTTTTGAGGAAATGAACGCAAAGTTAACGCATGAACCATAAAAAGGTAAATGATATTGAACGTCTCAACACGAGAGAGAAAGAGAGAGAGAGAGAGAGAGAGAGAGAGAGAGAGAGAGAGAGAAAGAGAGACAGAGAGAGAAACAGAGGGAGGTAGGGAGAGTGAGGGAGAGGGGGAGAGAGAGAGAGAGAGAGAGAGAGAGAGAGAGAGAGAGGAAGGGAGAGAGAGAATAAACACAGAGTAATCAAATAAACCAGAAAAAGGTAGTAGAATTGAAAGCATGAACACAAGAAATTTAAATGTTTCATCCTCACCATTGCCAAGTATATTTCCCTATTTCGTTCCTTTTCAAAATCTTCTCACTCATCCCCCTCCTCATCTTTTGTAAGATAACGTGACATATGCACTAAAGTGAGGAAAAAGTTATTTGAATTGTACGGAGTTGTACTTTGAGGTAACTCTCATCACCCATCACAGCAACATCTCACATGATTATGTTTGTTCTGATCTTTTTTTCTTTCTTTACTTTTGTTTTTTCACTTTTTTAGTATTGTATTTGCCTTCTGCAGTATACCTTTAGTGTCTACCTTTTCTTCACTTTATCCTACTATTCCCAAAATAATGTCTTACCAGTATCATCTCTTTTCCCCTGCTTCCTGTTTGAGAAAAAATATTTTTCTTTTCAGTAAAAAGATCCTTTATTTGTCTCGGTCAACTATGCTGTAATAGGCTCAGTGAAGTCCTTAACACTATCCATACTATCGTGTTTTACTATCGTATCCATACGACGTTGGGAACTCTGTGACACCCCTTTCCAAAGGGGAAATTTACTTGTTAATCCGATCCGTACGCTTTGCAAACAGTCTGTAAAAATGACTTTTTGAGAAATACTGAAAGTTTCAAAGAGATCTTGGTACTAGAAGTATTGCAAAATGTGAAGAATACAACCCCGGAGGTACAAAATGACCCAAGGGCATACAGACAGGGTTAAAAAAACAGTTTATTGTAGCACTCAGTGCTAACTGACCTGGTCTTCATAGGAGGCCCGTGATGTTGTGTACTTGAGTAGCTTCATGCTCATACTGCACCACAGCTCTGCCTCCCTCGTTTTGCCACAACTGAGGAAGTTTGTTAGTTCGTTTGAGAAAAGATTAGCACATCAACACAATATCACTCATTTAGTAAAGGGGGAAAAAAGACAGACGAACAGTAGGTGAAAAGAACAGAAGTGAGGTTTACCACTTTCGCCCTTCAACCACACTCAACAACAAAGGGATGCAGCGCACCAATATAAAAGGAGTTTATAATAATAATAATAATAATAGAGAGCATTTGTATAGCGCATATCCCCGCTCAACAGCAGGCTCTATGCGCTTTACACTATATTATTACCCCAGCAGACCATAGAACACTCCGAAACATTCTCAGCTTCCCGAGAAGCATACAGTGCAAGCAGCCGATTAAGCGCTCAAACACTAACTTCACCTGGGTGAAGTGAGGAAAATTCGTGTAAAGTGCCTTTCCCAAGGACACAACGTCGGGACCCTGACGGGATTCGAACCCACGACCTTACGGTTGCGAGTCCGAGAGCCTAACCACTAGGCCACCGACGCCATGTGTACATATGTCAGACTAAATGTGAGGAACATGCAACTGTTTGTTTGAGCTCCGGGCGGGGCACATGAATATTGACAGTGTGTGTAGATGGGGGTACCAGTAAGAGTGGCATGCTCACGTGTGCTCATAAGAACGTGAGACTGTACTTGCATAAGAGGGAGTCACTGCATTTGTGTATTCATGAGAGCACAAGCTGCAGTATGTGAAAGAGTGCACTGGGTCAGGAGGTGGAACACAGGCCTTACAGTGAAGTAACCAAGCTAAATTTTATCCATACAGTTTTCAAAACTTGAAATTAAATTTAGATATATATAAACCTAAGACATGAATATTACAATTATCCTCACATTGAAAATCGAAATACTGAAACCACTACAGACAGGATGAGATAAAATTAAAGTGCGCATTTTTTAAAAAGAGACATTCTTTGACAGCACTAAAATAAACATGTCTGATGATCAGCTAGCTATGAATAGGTTTATTTACATTTAAACTAGGTTAGGTGAAAGACTTTACTGAGCACATTTCAATGTTAACACAGTAAATCTGCAGTCATTCACAGCACAGTGCACAGGTTATTCGTCTCACTTGAAATACTGTAGTCCATGGTTCCATGATTTGGTCATAAGCCACAGCACCTCTGTGTCTGGATACTCGCCCTGTGAGAATGTTCATCTTGAGTTAATTCATAGCCGGTCAAACAAGATAACAGCCATTCTGCAACTAGCATAAAAATGTAATAATATTTCAACTGTTTCACTCTACCATCAACACAAAACAGATAACTTGGGAGGCTGGCTGAGAGGGAGGGGGGAGGAGAGAGAGAGAGAGAGAGAGAGAGAGAGAGAGAGAGAAAATGAGAGAGAGAGAGAGAGAAAGAGAGAGAGAGAAAAAAGAGAGAGA